CCGTTGTTGCATCTAGATGGCAGCTTCCTAGCTTTTAAGGTCCCAGTCGCTACTCGCCAAAGTAGTAGGTGGACCAATGTTTTGTATAGTATGTTATGCCAATTGAGCTTGATGTCCCCTGCAACCATGGTCCCAAGCCCACAGGATCAACTACTCGGTCCCTCTGGGTAGCTTGGTCTGCTTTTTTAAAAACTTTTTTTTTTTTAAGAATTTCAAATTCTATTCCACATTTTCTCCCATTCTATCCATCTGTTGTGGCTCTGATTAGCATGGTCAATAGTTGTATCTGGGCACCATCTAATTCTTCTGATCTCAGGGTAGATGATGCCATGCTTTATGTAGACTATTTGTCCTGTAGACTAGTTTCTTCTTTGAGTCTTTGGTTTTCTTCTTTCTCTTTTGCTCCTGATAAGTAGAAACCAATAGTTTTGTCTTAGATTGCCACTATTAAGCTTTTAGGACCCCAGACAGTACTTACCAAAGTAGGATATGGAACATAACTTTATGAGCTATAGTATACCAACTGACTGAAATGTTCCATGAGACTATGGTCCTAATCCTTCAAGCCCAGAAATCTAATCCTGCAAAGCATTTAGTTATGTCTAAGAAGTATCCATAATTATACCCCATGTGCTTTATTATAGATATGAATATATGGCATATAGTTATATAGATACATATACATATGCATACACACATACATATATATATGCTTATATATATACATATAAGCACATACATTTTTAAATTGTTTTTGCTGTTTCAAAATTATATATGCCAAATTATGGCCTATTTTTATATGGTCCCAAACTAAGAATGGTTTTTACATTTTAAAAGAATTGGTTGGAAAAAAAAAAAAAAGAAGAAATATGCAATGAAGACCTATGTGGTCCATAAATCTTAAAATACTATCTGGTCCTTTTTAGAAAAAAATTGCCTTAGATCCTTGGCCCATTTTTTTTTTTCAGTTTCCAAACTTTTCTTCTAGATACACCCCATAGATTTTATGGATTTCTGCTCACGTTTTCCATGGAATCGAAATCATGTAGGATGCCTCATGAACTGAATTAGGCCACCAGAATGAGTCAAGGGGTGTTCTTCTCGGTCCCCGAAAAAGCTAACTAAGCAGAGGATCCAGGCTGACTTCTCCACAGTAGCTCAAGGGAATCACATTGCAGCCTCCTGCAGAGCTGGGGGCGGATGGCAGGGATACTGGTGAAAGTCTTCCTCAAAATGTGTGATTTTAACTAAACAGTACCATGCTTAGACGAAGATACTGAAAATATCCACCAAGAAATGGTATAGAAATTACTACTCAACACTTCCATGACAATCTGTGTCTATAGAAGAACTCTGAATGTGCTGGTAAGACAATCTGGTTGTTCCTTGGTGAATTAAAATGCAGAGAAATAGAGTAAGGAAGTAGAAGGTCACTTAGCTCTTGGCAAATGGTGGGACCGATGAATTTGTATATACCCATTTGTTTTTAAAAATTGTTTCTCTGGGTATTTCTCTGATTCTTAAGCCAAGATTATTGTCTTAACACAAGGGTTTTAATCTTTCCTTTAAGCCAAAAGATGATCTGTATCCTTTGCTTCACCCAACCATGCATTGCTGGACTCCAACAAGTGATCTGTATGTTGGCTGTGAAGAGGGTCATCTTCTAATGGTTAATGGAGAAACTTTGAAGGTGACTGTGCTTAGTAAGACAGAAGAACCACCACCTATGGGTGAGAAACTTCTCTGCTTCATATCTTTGGAAGTATAGCCATGTATGTTGTTTTATATAAACTTAAAGATGGAAGTTCTAGACCCATTTTTCCTCTTTCTTATATACACCATTGATTCCTCCTTTCCTCATCCTCTGTGTCTAATTAGTTATCAAGTCCTGTGGAACACCTTGGTAATGTTTGTTAAGTATTACTGAGTGTTCTGGTATCCGTTTATATGTGTATGTAATTTAATCCTCAATACAATATTATTAAGGAAATATTATTTTTATTTCCATGACATAGATGAGGAAATGGAGGCATTGAGAGGGTAGGAAATATACCCAAATTCACATAACTGGTGTACACTGGAGTTGGTACTTGAATCCGGGCAATATAACTTCAAAGAATCCAAGTTCTTCTATACATAAGCCACCCTGCTTCATCAGTTAATTACGCCCTTTCCTTCTCCCAAGCCCTCTCAACCCCTTTCTTCATGATGACCTCATCATCATTTAAATCCAGCTACCATCTTGAAAATCACCTTTATGTTTCCAGGTTAGAATTTCAGAGATAATCTAGTTTGTTTTCCTTATATCTGATGTCCATTCTTGTTCACCAGCCGTGCCCAGTGCAGGGCCTGGGTCATAGGGACCAAAGTCCACATAGTAGGGGCAAGGTATAGATCCTTTGAGAATAGAGCTTCACTAAGGCAGGCACCCCAAACCTATCCAATGACTCTCCACTCCAGTTGCCCTTATTGTACATCCTGATTTCTGCAGTAACAGACTGATTTCACTGACCCTAATCTGCATTTGAGCCCATTGTTGCATCCACTGTGTCAATCCACCTTTTGGAGGGTCTTCTTCTATTTTGCTGACCCTACTTTACCAACCACGATGTCCTTCTTTAGGGACTCGTCCCTCCTGATAACAAGTCCAAAGTGCATGAGATGAAGTCTCCTCACCCTCACTTCTAAGGAGCTTTCTGGCTGTCCTTCATCCAAGTGTCTCCTTCTGGCAGTCCATGATATTTTCAGTATTCTCTGCCAACACCATAATTCAAATGCGTCAGTCCTTCTTCGGTCTTTCTTATTCATTGTCCAGCTTTCATATGCATCTGTTATTATTGTTGTTGTTGTTGTTAGGTGCCGTTGAGTTGGCTCTGACTCACAGCGACCCTGTGTACAACAGAACCAAGTGCTACCTGATCCTGTGCCAGCCTCACAGTCCTTGCTATACTTGAACCCATTGTTGTAGCCACTGTGTCAATCCATCTCCTTGGGGGCCTTCCCCTTTTTCGTTGACTCTCCACTTTACCAAGCATGATATCCTTCTTCGAGGAATGGTTCCTTCTCAGCACATGACCGAAGCAGATGAGGTGAAGTCTGGCCATTCTCACTTCCAAGGAGCATTCCGGTTGCACTTTTCCAGGACAGATTTGTTCATTCTTCTGTCAGTCCATGGTATTTTCAGTATTCTTTGCCAGCACCACAACTCAAAATCATCAACCCTCCTGTGGTCTTTCTTAGTCATTGTCCAGCTTTCACATGCATCTGTGGTTGAAAATACTATGGCTTGAGTCAGGTACACCTTAGCCCTCAAAGTGACAACTTTGCTTTTTAACACTTCTAAGAGGTCTTTTGCAATCTGGGTTGTTGTTGTTGTTATGTGCCGTAGAGTTGGACCCAACTCATAGCGACCCCTCCTTGAGTTTCTGAGGCAGTATCACTACGGAAGTAGATTGCCCCATCTTCCTTCCGAGGAGTGGCTGGTGGGTTTGAACTGCCAGCCTTGTGGTTAGCAGTCAAGTGCTTTAGGCACTATGCTACCAGAGCTCCCTTGCAATCTGGGTAGTGCTCTAAAATATAAACCTCTTTTCTGACCTGCTTTTCCTGCTTTATCTCCTCCAATTTGAGCCTTTTACAATTTCTCATCATCCTGCTCTCTCCAAGTTCTACCACCTGGCCTTTGTGGTTACCTTTATCTGGAGTGCTCTTCCTTGTGCACCTGGTGAAATTATCCTCCTTTATGGGGCCTTCGCTGTCCTTGCTCCAACTTTCAGGCAAAATTAGGTGCCCCCATCTGTGATTCCGTCGGGCTCACCCCTTTGTTAGAGCCTCTTCCTGTGCTATTGCAATTGCCAATGTCTGTATCTGTCTTTCCCACTCGTCATCAGCTGTGTCTTGCTCATCTTTTGGCTCCAAAATCTAATCCCAGTGATTACAACAGAGTAAACTGGTACCTATCTGTGTTTGCAAAATGAATGAACAAACCAGTGTTTCTATTTTTCAAACTCCTATCACGTTCCTAATATGTTTTTACACAATTTAGGACTTAATCATCGTAGTCCTAATTATTGAAATATTGTTCACTATTTCTTTTTTCCGTACTTTTTCTTATGACTCTTATGATGTATTACAAATACCTTCAAACAAGTATTTACAAGCATCTGCAATGTGGAAGACACTATGCAAGATGCCACAGAGTTTACACAGGCAACAAATAGATAGTTTCAAAATCTCCACCCTCAGGGGAGATTACTAAACCCTCAGTGTTTTACTAAGGAGGATAAATGAAGTAGACAAATAATTGATCCAGGTACATTAAGATGATTTAATTAGTAGAAAGCTTCACAAAGAGCTATGGAGATTCAGGTAAGGTAAACAGACCAAGTTGAGCCATTTTAAAGGTGTATTTGAATTGGCCCTTGAAGGATGGTTCTACTTTGAGGATTCACAGATAGAGATGTAGGGTAGAAAGTACAGTAGGTAGAATTTTTGGCTATGGTATTTGCATGGACAAGAAAACATGAGGAAGGTTGAGAAACAAGAAGAGGTCCAGTTTGTCAGGAGCATCAAGTGTTATAAAGGACTAATGGGAAGAAGAGGCAGCCATACCTTATCTGGCCTTGCATATCAATTCAGCTGACAGTAGGCAGACATCAAACACTTCTGGATGGAGATGCATCCCAATTGGAATTGTGCTTTGGCAGATTAATTTCAACATAGTTCTGGAAAGGAAGGTCCTAAAGTGAGTGGCTTTTAGCAAAAAGCACATAAACCAGGCCAGGAGTCATCAGAACCTGGACTTTAGTCACAGTCGGATTGAAAAAGAAGGCAATGCTGGAGGGAGAACAGTCTTTGAAGGAAAGGGCAGTATCCTTTTAGCATTTAGTAAAATACAAGCCACTGTACAAGGTGAAGAATTTGCTGGATGCCTCCTGAACCTCTGATTTTGTAGTTCTCGTGGTTTGTCTACATAAAAAAGCTAATATGCTTTGTTTCTTCCTCCCCGCAAGGACAATATTTTATTAATAACACATACTCTCATAGAACTTTTTACTTTCTTTTTAATCTACAATATTTTATTTACTAAACTATACTTTACATACCAACATATCATAAAATTCACAAATCTTCTCTACAGAAGTAGATTGCCCAGTCTTCCTTCTAAGGAGTGGCTGGTGAGTTTGAACCACCAGCCTTCTAGCTAGCAGTCAAATGCCTTCCTTAGGTACTACACCACCAGAGCTCCTTCTTAAGTATATAGCTTGGTAATAATAGTTTTTTTTTTTTTTTTCCTTTTAAAATTTCTGACAATGTTTTCCTAAATAAAATAAAATGTGTTTATTATATAATTCTAGAGTGTTAGTCACGTAGAACTGATGCTATGTAACTTGAAAACAACCCCTTGATTTCTATCAGTGATCACTGCAAAATAGCTGTTACATCCATTATTTAGGAGGTGTCGTAACACATGATATCAAGTTGATTTTTGGAAAGAATGATTCCAAAGAAATGAGTGATACTATAAGAGCAAATGAGGAGCCAACGATTAAGTGCTCAGCTGCTAAGCGGAAGGTCGGTGGTTCAAACCCACCCAGCAGCTATGCAGGAGACAGTGATGTGCTCCTGTGAAGACTACAGCCTAGCAGACTCTGTGGGGCACCTCAACTCTGTCACATGGGTCTCTGGGAGTCAGAATCAACTTGATGGCACCCAAAAGCAACATGAGAGTCAATGAAATTACTTTGTATTGTACTTTTAATTGCCTGTCACCTGCCTTACCTTGTTTTTCCTTTCTCAAAGACAGAAGAAATGTTATCAGTCCAATCACCTTGGCATATCAGAAAGAAGGCGTAGTTGCTTCTGGAATAGTAATGTATTTTTTTTCTTCTCTTCAAACTTAATTGTTTTTAAGAAAATAATACAATTTACTTTTGCTCTCATTTAGTATAATGAACGATATTTTGGGATTTTTTATTTTTACAGAATATTATGTAATATTGTTTCTTTTTTGATGCTTTTAAAAAAGCTTTTTATTATGAAGAATTTCAAACATTTGAAAAAATAGAAAGAACAGTATAATGGGCTACCATATACCTATCTGATTTCAAATAAATAAAATTATCATTTAAAAACCCACCTCCCTCCACACAACTAGTATCTGTTACCCAATTCCATATCCATTTGTTTTCTTTAATGTATGAAAGTGTCAGACATGCTTTTGGAACCTCTAGTCTAAGGTGGAGCATAGACTCTTGTGCATACCCATTTAGATTACGTGTGTAATATTGTAATTATTCATATTCAAATTAGTATTAATATTCTCCATTTACTTGCGCTTTTATTTATTTATTTATTTATTTGTTATTAGGATTTGGGTGAAGATTTACAGAGTAAATTCACTTTTCATACAGCAGTTCACATATACTTTGTCTCATGTCATTGACCAAAATTTACAATGCAGCAGCTCCCCTCCCACTTCCTCCCCATAGTTACCTCCTCCCAGTGTCCATCCCTTCATACTCTTCGAGAGGCCCATTGTCTGCCAACCCTGTATATGATCTTGGATACACTCTCCATTTAGACATACGTAATTGTTTAGCTTGTTCACCCATCTATCCGTCCCTATACCCATGTTTGCTTTCATTGACAACTCAGTATTGTATTTACAAAGGGGTTCATATTTGTTGTTTGTACTGCCCATGTAACTCTCTCTGTCTTTCTCATCCTCAATGCTGCCCTATTGGTCACTCACATTTGGTACATTGCCCTTCTCTTCACCCAAATCAATATTTATCTCTATCTATCTAACAGCATTCCCTCCCCTTCCCTCCCACCCCTGGTAACCAACAAAGAAAATGTCCTCCAATAGATAAACCTTTCCTTAACTTTCACAATAACGGACTAATACAATATTTGTCCTTTTGTGACTGACTTATTTCGCTCAGCATAATGTCCTCCAAGTTCATCCACGTTATGCGGTGTTTTGCAGATTCTACATTATTCTTTAGCGTTGCATAGTATTCCATTGTGTGAATGTACCAAAGTTTGGTTATCCATTCCTCAGTTGTTGGACATCTAGGTTGTTTCCAAGTTTTGGCTATTGTAAATAGTGCTGCGATGAACATCGGTGTGCATATATCTGTTCTTGTTATGGCTCTCACTTCTTTAGGGTATATACCTAGTAATGGGATGGCTGGGTCAAATGGTATTTGTATTTCCAACTTTTGAAGGAATCTTGTGCTTGCTTTTTGCCAGGCACCATGCTAAGTGCTTTATTACATTCTCTATTGGTCCTCACAATAACCCTATCAAGTAGGAGCTATTGCTATCTCCCTTATACAGACGAAAGAACTGAGTCTTACAGTGTTCACCAGCAAGTCAGTGGAGGAGCTAGGACTTGAACCCAGGTGTGTCAAACTCCAAAGTCTGTACTCTTATTTATTACACTACAGACCTTCAGAAAATATGAAAAAGCGTCAGACCATCGTTATTTTTTCAGGCTGTTGTAGCATGGTTTGGAGCAAACAGACCTGCAGTAAAATCACAGGTCCACTGGTGGCTCTCCAGAGTCACTGTTAATGTTGTCTGTTCCATCACCATGGGTCACATCTCCAGACCCCGAGGGCAACCAGGCAAGGACTTCAGGTGAGAAGAGCTTCTTCACTCAGGAGAAGCAATTGGGAGCTCATGTACATGCACCCAGTCCTCAGTCCCCTCCCACACCTTGCAGTGGATGGCCTTCTCCTTCCTCTTATGTTTAGTCTGCATTTGTGGCCTTTTGTGGCACTTGTCTTCTCCAAAGCCACCCTCGGTGATTGTTTTAGCATAGTTTAAAGGAGAGATTGGAGCAACGGCTCTTGTGAGCCATGAGGAGTGATGATGGACTTGGTGAAAGCACCTTGCATGTGTTTCCCCAGATCCCAAACATCTGAACCCAGCCTTCTCACAAATGCCTACACTTAGTCATTAGAAGATCTCATCTAGAAATAATGGATGAATTTGCTCAAATCCCCTTCACTACTATGAAATGAACTCAAATTCTTCTTGAGCAGTTAAGTTATCTGAAATATTTTACAACCAACATCAGTCATTCAACCAATTTTTATTGGATACTTGTCATGTTCCTAAGCACTGTACGTGAGGAACTTGAAAGAAGGTTACAGAGGAAGTTACAGGCATGCTCCTTACCCTTGGTCATTAAGTGAGATAACAAATGCACAAAGATTAAAGAATGACACAGTAGGGCTAGTTGGTGTCCTCTGAAGTAAGACAATTGCTACACAGAATCTACACAAACCCTGCCTCATATGTTCCAGCTACTTGATAATGAGAAACATAGTACAAGAGACAGACATTAGAGAAATTCAAAGAAAGAAGAAATTAGTGAAATTTTAAATAGTTGAAAAATGTGTCATGGAAGAGAGAAAATTAAAGCTTGAGCACAGAACATGGCTGAAAGTTGTCTAAATAAAGGTGAGAGAGAGGACATTCGAGATGATGTGAAGCCAGAAGAGTAATTCAAAAATAAACAGGGAATGATAATCAATAAGCCTCGCTGATCTAATGAGGAAGTGCATACTACGCATTGACTGAGACTCATTTTCTGCCTCTGTCTCTTTGTTTTTGGGCTCTAGGATGGCTTTGTGTATTCTTTTATTATTAAAGACTCAAGTTACAAAGTAATGGATTTTATTGAGGTAGAAGAGGCTGTGGAGCATTTGATGTTTTCTCCCCACTACAAAACGTTGCTGATTCAAACAGAAAAGGTATGCTAGATGGTGATTCCTTGATATGCAATTTTCAGATAAAATTATTATCATTGTTCTATGACATGAATGAAGGACACAGAATGCTGTATAATAATGCTTTACTAGTCAGGACTCTTGGGAGCTCTGGTAGCATAGTGGCTAAGGCACTTGACTACTAACCAGACGGCTGGCGGTTCAAACCCACTAGCCACTCCTCGGAAGGAAGGTTGGGCAATCCTACTTCCGTAGTGATACTGCCTCGGAAACCCAAGGAGGGGTCGCTATGAGTCAGGTCTGACTCGACGGCACATAACAACAACAACAACAACAAGTCAGGACTCTTTAGGCTACAAATGAATAATAAAAAAATAATTAATGTTAAAGGGACTTGTTGGTTGGTTTTTATGCATGTGACTGAAAGGGCGAAGAATGGATCTGAGGTCGTGACACGATGCCACTGGGCCTTGTTTTCCTTCCATATCTTGGCTCTGTTTCTTCTCTGCTGGCTCTGTTGCCGGGCAGACTTTCCCCTGTGATGACAACAGCTCTAGCTTATATTTCTACCCTCTTGGTGACCCTGGTGGGAAGATACTAGCTGGAACAAATGACTTGGAGTTTAGAGTCTTTGGATTGTCTAGAGCTGCCTGTCTATGCCAGGTCACAGTGGTGGGCAGGAGGATGCTAAGCTCTGATTAGCCAGGTCTGAGTCACATGCCCACCTTTGGACCTGGGGTAGAGTCAGCCCACTCCAACACAGTGTGACATTGGGGCATGCATCATTCGCTAAGGAAAATACGGAGTCTGTAACAGAAGAAAGGAGAGAAACAAATGCAGAGTGGAAACAAAGGTCCACCTCATTGGGTGACTCCTAATGAATGGAATGACCTCCAAAGGTCACTCCAAATTAGTAACAGTTTATATTGTTAGGCAAAAGTTTTACATTGGATTACAAACAAAGTTAAATGATTTTCTGTCTGAAAGAAACTGAAACTAAATATGCAAAGACTCCTGGTTCTTGTCATGACCAGAATTTAAAACTGTGCTATGCTTTAGTAAATAAATGACAAACCTGAAACATCTATGGTGAATCCCACTGCCATCAAGTCAATTCCAACTCATAGTGACCCTACAATACAGAGTAGAACTGCCCTATAGGGTTTCCAAGGCAGCAAATCTTTTTTTTTTTTTTT